TGCCATGAACAGTTACAGGTAGGGCCAGGGGAATGATGGAGGGTACTTTGTCTAGGCTGCGTAGAGAACTGCAGCAGCTGCTGCAAGGAAGACAATAGCAAAATCACAGCTTCTCGGCGCAAACGTTGCCGCTCGCGCGTCACTGGGGAGGAGCCCAAATTCAAAGAAGGCAACGTTATAATGGTTACGATGCAAATGTCCCTGCAGATACAAGATTAGCCCCATATGAACAGCGCAAAAGAGGTATTATCATACCGCCTGCTCATATTAAAACATCACTGCGGTTCATATCCAAATTCAGCAAATAAAAGATGATCCTGCCTCCAAGGGTCCCATTGAGAATCCCGGAACAGTGGAGGCGAAAATGGAGAGAAAAACAGCTTTCGCTTCAGCTCAGTCAGAGTGAGAAAGTGAGGCCGTTTTCTCTTTTTGTATGTTCTCAAGGCTGCAAGTAACTCGTTCGCCATTTCTGTGTGGAACTTTGTAGCGTCTCGGCAATAATCGCTCGCATCCGGCAAATTGTAATCTGTGTCCAAAGCTCTTACAAACTTCTCCCACCACAGATCGAGTTTCATATGGCCTCCCAAAAGTTCAACTGCAGAAACCAAGTAGTCCATCGCCAAAAAAATGGTCCCTAGTTTAACAACAGCATAGATTGGTCTGAGCTGCCTCCCTCCTGAAGCCGAATGAAACCACAAGCTGTTCGCCAAGTCCGTTGTCATGTCCATCAGGATATCTACGTCTTGCTGATTAAGTGTCTGCTGCGCGAAGAACTGTCGCATCTCCTGAAAATGCTCGCCAGGCGATGAACTCGTCGGTGGCAGAGCAAATATTCCTGATGGGTCGAAGTCGTGAGGGACGACGCCTGCTTCCACCACTGGCAGGCGCACATAGGGATGATTCCGAGGGTTCTTCGCGCTAAGGAATGTTTTTCTAATGGGGCGAAGCGGTTGATGCACCGAAGCTGAGCTGGGAGCAGTGGACGGCTCCGCAATTCGCGACGAGCAACCTGCTGCCAGGGACCACTGACATTCTTCCAGACCTCTCTGAGCATGTTCAGTGTCTTCTTTCTCTTCTATCCAGTCTCTGGGCTTCACTTGGAGAGCAGTGCCAGAAGCGGAGTCTCCACTGGGTTCCAGGTCCAGAGCATGGCGTACAAGCACCGGCTCGCCACTCCCAGATTCAAGAGTCCTCAGCCACCCTACTGCTGGTATGCCTATGCCTGTCTGTCTTGCATTAGAGGCTCCTCCAACAGTAGGACCTGCACCTAGTATCGATTGCATTCCTTGGTTTGCCTCATACTCTGAAGCAGCAGCGGACAAAAACGACACGATCTCAGCAATCCTCCATGGCCGGTCGCCGCGGGAGGTAGAAGGAGGTTCTGGACGCCAAATCCCTAACTCTGCCTCGAGCGCCAAGCAGCCCTCCAAGACACATTGCTCATCGATACCTCCATCCCCACCAGCCAGCCTGCGGCGAGTCACCCCTACCGCCTGTTCTCTGCTGCGGCTTGCTCTGCATACAGACCAAATCATTGAAATTGCGAGGAGCGAAAAGGTGGCAGCTAGTGAGGCAAGCAGCATCCGTTTTCGAGAACGTGTTCTAAAATCGATGAACTTGTCTGCAAGGATAGGGGGCGTCGAAGGAGCCCGAATAGGGTTCGGAGAAATTGGTAGGTACGGAAGTGATTCAAGAGCTTCTTCCCCAAAAGACGTGTGCGATGATTTCAATGTTTCCTCATTTTGCACGCTTCCCTGAACTTCGAAGACAGCAGCATCTAGCAACATCCTTTCCGTTATTGGTTCATGTTCCTGTTGCGGGGCTTCACTAAGCTCAGCACCTTTCTATTGATGGCGGGTGTAGGCCTTCTCTACAGTCATCCTGCCTCCTGTTGGCCCTATTGCTGGCATTATTATTTTTTGCATTGAAGACAAAGAATATGCCTCTACGAAGGGGAAAAAACCTTTGGGGCACGGCCAACGCAACCCCGTGGGCTCAGTAAAGGGGCTTGCCTATAGCCAGACCCACGGGTTTGAACAACCGAAACCTCCCAAGGACTCTGCTCCCGATGGCTGTTACCGCCTCCAAAACTTATTTCATTCGCTATAAACGCGTCTCAAGAGTTTCACCATGCATTACTGGTACCAAGAAGATGGTCAGGCTTTGGCGTGCTCTCGTGGCACAAGTCGTGGTTTTCGCAGGCGTTTTCGCTGTGGGCTTTCACGTTTCCTGCTGGAACAAGACTATTGTTCTACCCAAAGTGGAAATAAACTGTTCAAATTCCCATTACTCATCTTTGAAGCGAGAAAGTAGCTATAATATGCCACCGCTTCCATTGGACTCGCAAGCAGGCACGTGGATTTCGTGCTTGCCGTAAACGCATCCGGTCACCCCTTCTGCCATCCCAGTTCCAAAAACAGCCTAAGTCTCTGGCTTCCGTTTTCCCTTTTATTTTTGATTGTAGATGAGAGTTGTTTGTTCGCTTCGCTCCCGGGTGCATTCTTGTAGACGATTCACAGACTTTGCACGCCTTGTGCTTAACCCGGTGAGGCAGCTCAAATGCCCTTTTACCTTTTGTCGATATTTGTTCGGTGCTGTGGTGGTCTTCCGATCCGGTGGTCAATGCACGCAATAACAGAAGGAACCAACAGTTCTGTTGAAGAGGAGGGGCTGCTCATGCCGCAAAGAGGTTCTGAGCCACACGGATGATGCTCCACTGCCTTTTTATCTCATCTAACCACAGCAAGGGTATGCAAAAGGCAACTGCCCCGACCCGTTTCGCTCTTCAACGCGTAGTTGGTTTTAGTGGTCAGCTAGACAACTTGCAGACAGAGCGTTTCTTAGGCGAAGCTCCGAACTGCAAGGGCAGCAAGGCAACAAAACGTGGCATGAGGTATTAAATATGCACTATATACTTCTATATGCCCAAGCTCCCAGCAGTATTTTTGCATGCTCTCCCCCAGCACCAAATAGCATGGCATATCGTCAGAATTGCCAACCCTTCGATATCTAGTGCGTGCCTTGACCAACTTCTGAATTAACTGCTGGGGAAGAATTCGACTCTTCACTGTCCAGGGGCTATGCTGAAGGTAACTGGCCGGTCTTTTTCCACAGTACGTGGAGGATTCGCAGGCGTATTGCTGCACTGCCCTTTCTGTTTGCGTCAGCCAGGAATTATTTGCTCCTGGCTGAAGCAAACAGCCTGGCTTGCAGTCTATATTGTTGTT